CTTGTTTTTTTAAATTTTTTATGTTCTTGTATATACAGTAGTTTAAGGAATTTATGTGGTAGAAAGTTTTGTGTTTTTAAATGATGCTGTTATTTAATTTTACCAAATAAGACTGTGTCATGTATTATGGAATGTGTCATATAATTATATAGGTGATCTAATTTTTTTTTTGAATTCTAATCCAGTGAAGTTAAAATCACAGAAAAAAATTTTGAGATCGACTGTATATGACATGTATGTCTTATACATGTATGTGTACTTCAACCTTCAACAATTTTATTGCCTGTCTAATTTTCTTTTTATCTTCCATTTTCCTTCCCTCAATCCTCCCAGCCTCTTGAAGCCTCTGGCATGTATGAGTTGTCTCAGGTTCAGTTGCAGTCTGGTAATATTGAAGTTGCTCTTGACTATCTATCTGAAGCTGTGCAATTGTTTGCTCAAGTCTTTGGGCCACTACATGTCAACATAGCAAACTGTTATAAGTGAGTGGTGTCATTTAAGTACTTATATATTCCATTGTATTATTACATGTATATATAGAGTTATTGCACGAATTCATCATGCTCTAGGAGACAGTAAACTAGTAAGTGGTGCATGTAACTACATGTATGTGCATGCCATGTACATTTTCATGTATCGACTGGTTGTACATGTAGTTTAGTTTAAATGACTGATACTGAGTTAAGATGTTATGCCTGCTCTAAAGTCTATTCACTTTCACCTGACCCCTGGTTGTCATCAATTAATAATAGCAGCTGAATTTGTTCTGGCTGTTTTAGGAGCGTAATTTTGGTCAAAGGTATGTCATTGAGTTTATAGAGGGACATCCAAAAAAGGCTAAGGCCTTGTCATTTTGACCGTTCTTCTTTTCTAAGGACGGGAAGGACCTAGCAATTCTAATGGCACAAACAAAATTTCTAAATTCCTGGATTATCAAAAGTTATTACAAACAAGCGTAACAGTGTAAAAGTATTCCTATAATTGATTTCACCACCTTGCATGTAGAGCCAGGTTCTTATTAAAACTTAAAGAGGTTTTCTCTACCTTCTAACCCTCAAGAAAGGTCTTGAGACTGTATCTCGATGTTCTCTTGGTTAAAAACTTATAACTTTGTCCTATGTGTAAGCTGCCATTTTGTTTGCTCTGACTACTCAAAGGAGTGTGGGTGGGTGTTTGCTAAGGCTTATGAAATTTTTTATTTCTCCAATATGACATGTATAGAAGAAATGTAAGTGTGGACATACAAATATACAAACATTGCACGTGGGTGAAATCAATTATACATGTAGGAATGACCTGGAGACTACACCCCCAGGTCGTTAAAAATCAATAAGTCAGATGAAACTGAACAGACTTTAGTTCAAAACACTGTAAAACTTTATTAATATTTTAATTTCTTTACAAGGTAGCAATTAATTATTTACTAAATTGAAATTTAATTTTAAATTCACTTGCTAAATTTTATCTCTCTCTTTTTTCATCTTCAGTCAATATCATTTCAGCACAAAACTGTCATTATGTATGAGAGACAGCTAGGAGTGGAGAACTCCAGCTCTATATCAGCCTATGTTAGTTATTAATAACTGGCCACACATACAATATTTATTATAAAATTTATTAGTAATGCGGTAGCGTTACTAAGTAGGATTCACCCCAAAACAAAATGTCTGCCACGACTTTTGCAGCCTTGCTATACTGGGAAAACGAGCTCCTGTGCTTACCAGACTTCATAGAGGACCTTATCTTGACCAGAGGACTCCATTGGTACTACTAGCGTGGCTCTAAACCTTGTCTAAGAGGAAAGTAAAAAATCAGCAAATTGGCCGTTTTGTTCAGTCCACTTTTTTCGTCTTCATCATTTTCTGTCAATCCAGTTAATGGAGGGTATGATGGTCTTTGATCAATGCTACAAGGCTAATTTTTACACCATTCTACTCCAACTATCCATGCGCAGGTCCACAACTTTTCAAAAAACTCTAACAATAAGATAAAGTTGCCCTCGCTCTATCA